ATACAGTATTACACCTGTGACGTGACATACAGTATTACACCTGTGACGTGACATACAGTATTACAACTGTGACGTGACGCACAGTATTACACCTGTGACGTACTGTATTACACCCATGACGAATGAATAACGCGGTCTTAAGATATTGCCGTCGACTCGTGCCGATGTGACTGAAAATTAGAGGCCAAACAAGGTATAATGAAAGTAGCCAGATTTTTAGCACGTTTGTCGCCAAAGATGTACAGGTTTCGTCCGGTTTATACTCGCCAGAGGTGGATCATCGTACTTTTAACGGTGTGGGAGGGGCGGGGAACGGGGTATTGGAGGTTAGGAGTGTGGTTGTGTGGATATGAGTATATATGATGTCACTATGACTTTAGACACGGTTATTATACACCAGCTGGTTAGTGCTGGGGGTTGGCTTTTGTAACACATTTGAATTTTAAAGGCACAACGCTGTTTAGAACCCCCCTCCCCACACACACACACACACTCACACTTTTAAGGGTGAATCATTTAAAAATGTCTCCATCGTCTATTGCATGCGGTCAAGGTCGGTCGGGCAGTGAGCTGACCTTTCCTTTTTCAACTCATTGAGCGATGTCAAGGTAATTTAAACTTACTCACACGCACATGACTTGCGTGCGCGTGATTTTCGTGAGTTAACGCCTGAGCCAGTTAATATTGAAGCCAGCGTTGTCATGTTAGGCCTAGGGTTGTCATGTTAGTCCTAGGGTTGCCATGAAGGCCTAGGGTTGCCATGTTAGGCCTAGGGTTGCCATGTTAAGCCTAGAGTTGTCATGTTAGGCCTAGGGTTGCCATGTTAGGCCTAGGGTTGTCATGTTAGGTCTAGGGTTGCCATGTTAAGCCTAGGGTTGCCATGTTAGGCCTAGGGTTGTAGTGTGCTTAGGGAAGTTAATTTGTGTTGCAGCCACTTATTGTCAAACAAGATAGTAAAAAAAAATGCAGTTGGTCTTCCTTACGGCTTTGTCTCCCATGAACTGTGATAAGTTTAGAGAAACGTAATGAGGTTTCCTGGTGGCTGAGATGACAGTGTAACTCAATGGGGCTGTGTGTGCCCATGTGGTCACCCCATTGTTGTATTGTCCAGGACGGACAGGTTCAATTCGTTGCGCTAGCGTGACAACAGATGTAGGACGCTTGATAACGTGCTGATGCAACATCAGCTCTTAACTCAATAGCTTTTTCAATCTTAGGGGGGGGGGGGCTTGAGATGATGATAAAAGCTGTTTTTTTCCAGATAAACTTTTGTAAATTTGGAGTGTTTTGAGTGTACAAGCAGTGGGGTCTATCAAAGCTGTAAATCAGGGGTTCCCAACCCTGTGCCCGCGGGCGCCATGGCGCCCGCTAGGCGCCCGCTGAACGATTCGTATATGCCCGCCTCTCACTATTCGACAGAGACAGAATTTTTTTCATAAACATTATTTTTAAATATGATTTATTTTTATTTATTTGTTACAGTTTTAATTTTTTCTGACTGCCTAGGTTTATTAAATATGTTCGATACTTGTCCCAACTAGTCTAGCGGCGAGCCAGACTGCACTATTTACGTTTTGTAAATACATTTCTCTGTGTGTATGCAATTTGAAAAAAATGCCAAATAATTTTATTATTTTGAAACAGTTTTATTATTTTTTAATACAGTGTAGATCAGGGGTTTCCAACCTTTTTTTTTTTACTCTAGAGCACATTCTAAAATATCGGTAGGGTGGCGGGCAGCACCTATTTTAAATCGACAAACTCCTTCCAGAGGCGTAGCGACCCTTCCCGTCACCCGGGGACAAAACTTTCGATTTGCACCCCCCCCCCCTCAAATTTTCGATTTGCAACCCCCCCCCCCCCCTCAAACTTTCGATTTCCATCCCCTTCAACCTTTTAATAATGTTTATAATGTTTATGAATCGTTCGGCGGGCGCCATGGGGCACGGGGTTGGGAACCCCTGGTGTACAAAGAGTGGGGTCTATCAAAGCTGTAGATTTCCAGTGTTTTGTTGAGCTGATTCATCACTTGTTTTACTGTGTTACATCTGGTCCTCTACACTATTGCACACCTGTCCCTGTTCACTATTGCCCACATGTCCACTATTGTCCACATGTCCACTATTACCCACCTGTCCACTATTTCCCACCCGTCCCTGTCCACTATTGCCCACCCGTCCATGTCCACTATTGCCCACCCGTCCCTGTCCACTATTGCCCACCCGTACAAGTCCATTATTTCCCACCTGTCCACTATTGCTCACCTGTCCACTATTGCCTACCTGTCCACTATTGCCTACCTGTCCACTATTGCCTACCTATCCACTATTGCCCACCTGTCCACTATTTCCCACCTGTCCACAATTGCCCACCTGTCCACTATTGCCCACCTGTCCACTATTGCCCACCTGTCCACAATTGCCCACCTGTCCACAATTGCCCACCTGTCCACTATTGCCCACCTTCCCACAATTGCCTACCTGTCCTCTATTGCCTACCTGTCCACTATTTCCCACCTGTCCACTATTGCCCACCTGTCCACTATTGCCCACCTGTCCACTATTGCCCACCTTCCCACAATTTCCCACCTGACCACTATTTCCTACCTGTCCACTATTGCCCACCTGTCCACTATTGCCCACCTGTCCACAATTGCCTACCTGTCCACTATTGCCTACCTGTCCACTATTTCCCACCTTCCCACAATTGCCCACCTGTCCACTATTGCCCACCTGTCCACTATTGCCCACCTGTCCACAATTGCCCACCTGTCCACTATTTCCCACCTGTTCACAATTTCCCACCTGTCCACTATTGCCTACCTATCCACTATTGCCCACCTGTCCACTATTGCCCACCTTCCCACAATTGCCCACCTGTCCACTATTTCCCACCTGTCCACTATTGCCCACCTTCCCACAATTGCCCACCTGTCCACTATTGCCCACCTTCCCACAATTGCCCACCTGTCCACTATTGCCCACCTGTCCACTATTGCCCACCTTCCCACAATTGCCTACCTGTCCACAATTTCCCACCTGTCCACTATTGCCTACCTGTCCACTATTTCCCACCTGTCCACTATTGCCCACCTTACCACAATTGCCCACCTGTCCACTATTGCCCACCTGTCCACTATTGCCCACCTGTCCACAATTGCCTACCTGTCCACTATTGCCCACCTGTCCACTATTGCCCACCTTCCCACAATTGCCCACCTTCCCACAATTGCCCACCTGTCCACAATTGCCCACCTGTCCACTATTGCCCACCTGTCCACTATTGCCCACCTGTCCACTATTGCCCACATGTCCACTATTTCCTACCTGTCCACTATTGCCTACCTGTCCACAATTGCCCACCTGTCCACTATTGCCCACCTGTCCACTATTGACCACCTTCCCACAATTGCCCACCTGTCCACAATTGCCCACCTGTCCACTATTGCCCACCTGTCCACTATTTCCCACCTGTCCACTATTGCCCACCTGTCCACTATTTCCCACCTGTCCACAATTGCCATAAACTAGGCAATACTCAGATAAATGTAATCCGTTGTCTCAAATAACAACATTACCACTAACCAAAACACAAGACACAACACCCTAACCAAACACAAGACACAACACCCTAACCAAAACACAAGACACAACACCCTAACCAAACACAAGACACAACACCCTAACCAAACACAAGACACAACACCCTAACCAAAACACAAGACACAACACCCGAACCAAGCACAAGACACAACACCCTAACCAAAACACAAGACACAACACCCTAACCAAAACACAAGACACAACACCCTAACCAAACACAAGACACAACACCCTAACCAAAACACAAGACACAACACCCTAACCAAAACACAAGACACAACACCCTAACCAAACACAAGACACAACACCCTAACCAAAACACAAGACACAACACCCTAACCAAAACACAAGACACAACACCCTAACCAAAACACAAGACACAACACCCTAACCAAAACACAAGACACAACACCCTAACCAAACACAAGACACAACACCCTAACCAAAACACAAGACACAACACCCTAACCAAAACACAAGACACAACACCCTAACCAAAACACAAGACACAACACCCTAACCAAAACACAAGACACAACACCCTAACCAAACACAAGACACAACACCCTAACCAAAACACAAGACACAACACCCTAACCAAAACACAAGACACAACACCCTAACCAAAACACAAGACACAACACCCTAACCAAACACAAGACACAACACCCTAACCAAAACACAAGACACAACACCCTAACCAAAACACAAGACACAACACCCTAACCAAACACAAGACACAACACCCTAACCAAACACAAGACACAACACCCTAACCAAAACACAAGACACAACACCCTAACCAAACACAAGACACAACACCCTAACCAAAACACAAGACACAACACCCTAACCAAACACAAATTTGCCATGATCAAATCTAAGCCTACTCCAGCACCAGCCTGTCCAATCCAGTGTTTCTTAAAGACACTGGTTAAAGTATGTTTTCTATATATATCTCATTGGGGGGGGGGGGGGTGCTGAGGTCAAGCTCAGGTCATCACATGATAGTGGCAGTACAGCTCCTGACCCAGATAATAGCTGACCCACCTGACCCAGATAACAGCTGACCCACACTATAAGACTGAAAGTATTTCACTAGGTTTGACCTATATTTCTCAGACTAAAATGTAAGGGGAGTCACAGTTTTAAAAATAGAATTACTGAAATTTATTTTAAGTTGACTACACATTCTTAAGTGTTTAGAACAAATGAATGGAATAACAATTACTAAACTAGCCTTTTAATGTCCTCTATGTTGACTAGCCAGATAAGTACAGTGCTGGTATTTCATCTAACATTTAATTACTTTAGTCAGATTTAGCTGACACAGGTCCTCTATGTTGTACCCAGGTACAGTACAGTGCTGGTATTTAACATTTCAATATATTTTGACAGGATGTGTTAGAACTCAGCCTGCTGCGCAAGTTGACCAACTTCGAGCCAATATTTTTTGTGCGTGTCCCACCCACTGGATCCCGCACAGTAGACACAGACCCTCCAGATGGCGCCCCTAGGGAGGTGTCTCCAGAATCTTCCAACACAAATCTCAGCTCTGTCGTCTCCGCAGACAACTCACCCTCGGCCAAAAACTCCCACAATGCCAAGCACGTCAGCTTGGTGTACGAACAGCTTCAGCGACTTGGGTACCTCAACCTTGACCCCGAGATGAAGCAGTTCAAGAAAAACTATTACGACGTTGAAAGCATCTTTGTGGAGAAGTTCACAGACTTCAGCCCCAGAATGGCAGGCTTTGTTAAAAAAATCCTCCAGAGTTACGCAGTGAACGCGTCGAGCGTGTTAAACAACTCCCACACGCGGTGCCTGAACAAGTTCATCCTGTCAGCGTTTGACATGGCGCGGGACATGCTGATCACGCCCAAGAAGCTGGAGTTTGCCAGGGAGAAGGAGGAGGAGCTGTACAAGTCCCTGCTCAAGATCTCTGTCTCCAAGCTGGACGAAATCAAGGAGCTCATCTCCACCACCATCTCCATGATCAGGTCCTGCCTCATAGCAGAGGCAGCAGAGTTTGAGTTCATTGGTAAACAGCTTTTCTGTCTGGCTACTTGATAAAGTAGGGCTCCCTTGAGTGTTGCTTTAGTTCTGAATGTATCACACCAACATGGTAACTTTAATCTTAGATTATTCATTACAACTCAAGTGGACAAAACAATTATGTAGATGAATCAAATGCATAATGGTCAAAATTTCTATATTTTTCTTAACCAACTATAAAATGTAATGAAGTGTAATATAAACTGTGTGTCTATGTGTCTAAGATTTGATTGATGTTCCCCCCCCCCCCCCCCCCCCCATCGCAGGTATTGACCTGGATGAGAACAGGGGTGTGAGTACAGCCAAGGAGCTGCAGGCCTGTACAGAGCAGATCAGAGAGATGGTGCTCAGTCGACTCAACCACGCCATCGCTGGGAAACTGGTCAGTTCAGTGGACATCCTCAGGGACTCATACACAGGTAATTTCTTTGGTCATACAGGTCATTTCTGGTCTGTTGGTAGACACATACAGGTCATTTCTTTGGTCCAGTAGTGGACACATACAGGTCATTTCTTTGGTCTGTTGGTAGACACATACAGGTCATTTCTTTGATGTTTTAGTGGACATATATTTGACACAAATGTATCACAATATACTAGTATTAAAGCCTTAAAAACGAGGCAACTTTTTTTCACATTACTATATTACTATCCTCGGCCGATTTTACGCACATAAAACTATAGTTGACCAATATTAATAATATTATAATTATAGGCCTCTAAAAATTTTTATTGTATTAATAATAAAATGGTTTGCCAGGAACTTTGACCAGATGTTTAGAGAGTTTGGAGACTATGGACAAGGAGAACCCTGAGGGGGCCAAGACAACAGATGCCTTCAAACAGGTCAGTGGCCTCTTCTTGCTCTCTCTATGTCTCTCTGTCTCTCTCTGTCTCTCTTTACCTCTCTCTGTCTCTCTCTGTCAGTGTTTTTTATTGAACATGTGCTGACTAGTTTTTATTTACTTTGATGCTGTGTACCAGAAGATGTGTGTTGGGTGTGTGTTTGGTGTGTGTTGGGTGTGTGTTGGGTGTGTGTTGGGTGTGTGTTTTTAGTGTGTGTTGGGAGTGTGTTGGGTGTGTGTTTGGTGTGTTGGGAGTGTGTTGGGTGTGTGTTTGGTGTGTTGGGTGTGTGTTGGGAGTGTGTTTTTAGTGTGTGTTGGGAGTGTGTTTTTAGTGTGTGTTGGGTGTGTGTTGGGAGTGTGTTTTTAGTGTGTGTTGGGTGTGTGTTGGGAGTGTGTTTTTAGTGTGTGTTGGGAGTGTGTTGGGTGTGTGTTTGGTGTGTTGGGAGTGTGTTGGGTGTGTGTTTGGTGTGTTGGGTGTGTGTTGGGAGTGTGTTTTTAGTGTGTGTTGGGTGTGTGTTTTTAGTGTGTGTTGGGTGTGTGTTGGGAGTGTGTTGGGTGTGTGTAAGTTGTATGTTGGGTGTGTGTTGGGAGTGTGTTGGGTGTGTGTTTTTAGTGTGTGTTGGGAGTGTGTTTTTAGTGTGTGTTGGGTGTGTGTTGGGAGTGTGTTTTTAGTGTGTGTTGGGAGTGTGTTGGGTGTGTGTTTGGTGTGTTGGGTGTGTGTTGGGTGTGTGTTTGGTGTGTTGGGTGTGTGTTGGGAGTGTGTTTTTAGTGTGTGTTGGGTGTGTGTTGGGAGTGTGTTTTTAGTGTGTGTTGGGAGTGTGTTGGGTGTGTGTTTGGTGTGTTGGGAGTGTGTTTGGTGTGTTGGGTGTGTGTTGGGAGTGTGTTTTTAGTGTGTGTTGGGTGTGTGTTGGGAGTGTGTTTTTAGTGTGTGTTGGGTGTGTGTTGGGAGTGTGTTGGGTGTGTGTAAGTTGTATGTTGGGTGTGTGTTGGGTGTGTGTTTTTAGTGTGTGTTGGGAGTGTGTTTTTAGTGTGTGTTGGGAGTGTGTTTTTAGTGTGTTTTTAGTGTGTGTTGGGAGTGTGTTTTTAGTGTGTTTTTAGTGTGTGTTGGGTGTGTGTAAGTTGTATGTTGGGTGTGTGTTTTTAGTGTGTGTTGGGTGTGAGTTGGGTGTGAGTTGGGTGTGTTTGGTGTGTGTTGGGTGTGTGTAAGTTGTGTGTTGGGTGTGTTGGGGTATCAAACTATCTTGAATTCATTGGTCAGCTAATGCAGCTGATTGGTCAGCTAATACAGCTGACAGTGTCAGGTGAAAGACACAGTCATGCCACTGATAGAGTGCATTGACGTCAGTCTGACGGCAAGCACTAGTGCAGCAACCTTGAAGCTGATAAAATACCTTCCCATATCATTTAACTTGTTTTCTGACAAATCAAACTGTACTCTGTTAAATGGCTATCAGTTTACTGTATGCCCTTACTTTTCCTGTTAAACAAATTGGGGTTAACTAGACAGCATGGTCACACAGACAGTGTGTGTGTGTGTGTCTGTTTGTGTGTGTGTGGGTGTGTCTGTTTGTTTGTGTGTGTGTGTGAAACAGCTGATAAGGTACGTTATCTGCAGACGTAAATCCTATCTGTTGAGTGTGTTTAATGTCAGTAACCTTGTTACATAAGAATGAAGTTATGCTTGTCTAATGTATGGCAAAGTGATTTTAAACCAAAAATAGCAGTGAATCAGTTCTAAATATAGACCCTAGTACTTGTCAGATGGCTTGATGTCAGATAAACTTTGCTGGGTAGTAAGTCTGTTTATACATCCCATGTCACCATGAGGCAGTTGAATGGAAGGCCCTGATGTCACCATTGACCCATCTTGTCTCACTGTCTTGTCTCACCTGTCTTGTCTCATCTGTCTTGTCTGTTTCAAGTGTCTCACCTGTCTACTTACACTTACAGATCTTGAATGCTGCTTACACTGTGGAGATTACAGTCCGGTCTAGCTCATCCTTTATCAAAAATATCTTAGAGAAGATGAAACAGGTGGGTCCAGTTTGGCTGGTCAGCATGTCACATGTTGCTGTTGTAGGATGTTGCTGTTGTAGGATGTTGCTGTTGTAGGATGTTGCTGTTGTAGGATGTTGCTGTTGTAGGATGTTGCTGCTGTAGGATGTTGCTGTTGTAGGATGTTGTTGTTGTAGGATGTTGCTGTTGTAGGATGTTGTAGGATGTTGCTGTTGTAGGATGTTGTTGTTGTAGGATGTTGCTGTTGTAGGATGTTGCTGTTGTAGGATGTTGCTGTTGTAGGATGTTGCTGTTGTAGGATGTTGCTGTTGTAGGATGTTGTTGTTGTAGGATGTTGCTGTTGTAGGATGTTGCTGTTGTAGGGTGTTGCTGCTGTAGGATGTTGCTGTTGTAGGATGTTGTAGGATGTTGTTGTTGTGGGATGTTGCTGTTGTAGGATGTTGCTGTTGTAGGATGTTGCTGTTGTAGGATGTTGTAGGATGTTGTTGTTGTAGGATGTTGCTGTTGTAGGATGTTGCTGTTGTAGGATGTTGCTGTTGTAGGATGTTGCTGTTGTAGGATGTTGCTGCTGTAGGATGTTGCTGTTGTAGGATGTTGCTGCTGTAGGATGTTGCTGTTGTAGGATGTTGCTGTTGTAGGATGTTGCTGTTGTAAGATGTTGCTGTTGTAGGATGTTGCTGTTGTAGGATGTTGCTGTTGTAGGATGTTGCTGTTGTAAGATGTTGCTGTTGTAGGTTGTTGCTGTTGTAGGATGTTGCTGTTGTAGGATGTTGCTGTTGTAGGATGTTGTAGGATGTTGCTGTTGTAGGATGTTGTTGTTGTAGGATGTTGCTGCTGTAGGATGTTGCTGCTGTAGGATGTTGCTGTTGTAGGATGTTGCTGTTGTAGGATGTTGCTGTTGTAGGATGTTGCTGTTGTAGGATGTTGCTGTTGTAGGATGTTGCTGTTGTAGGATGTTGCTGCTGTAGGATGTTGCTGTTGTAGGATGTTGCTGTTGTAGGATGTTGCTGCTGTAGGATGTTGCTGTTGTAGGATGTTGCTGTTGTAGGATGTTGCTGCTGTAGGATGTTGCTGCTGTAGGATGTTGCTGTTGTAGGATGTTGCTGTTGTAGGATGTTGCTGTTGTAGGATGTTGCTGTTGTAGGATGTTGCTGCTGTAGGATGTTGCTGTTGTAGGATGTTGCTGTTGTAGGATGTTGCTGTTGTAGGATGTTGCTGTTGTAGGATGTTGCTGTTGTAGGATGTTGCTGTTGTAGGATGTTGTTGTTGTAGGATGTTGCTGTTGTAGGATGTTGCTGTTGTAGGATGTTGCTGCTGTAGGATGTTGCTGTTGTAGGATGTTGCTGTTGTAGGATGTTGTAGGATGTTGTTGTTGTAGGATGTTGCTGTTGTAGGATGTTGCTGTTGTAGGATGTTGCTGTTGTAGGATGTTGCTGTTGTAGGATGTTGCTGTTGTAGGATGTTGCTGCTGTAGGATGTTGCTGTTGTAGGATGTTGCTGTTGTAGGATGTTGTAGGATGTTGCTGTTGTAGGATGTTGCTGTTGTAGGATGTTGTTGTTGTAGGATGTTGCTGTTGTAGGATGTTGCTGTTGTAGGATGTTGCTGTTGTAGGATGTTGTTGTTGTAGGATGTTGCTGTTGTAGGATGTTGCTGTTGTAGGATGTTGCTGTTGTAGGATGTTGCTGTTGTAGGATGTTGCTGTTGTAGGATGTTGCTGCTGTAGGATGTTGCTGTTGTAGGATGTTGCTGTTGTAGGATGTTGTAGTATGTTGTTGTTGTAGTATGTTGTAGTTGTAGGATGTTGTAGGATGTTGTTATTGTAGGATGTTGCTGTTGTAGGATGTTGCTGTTGTAGGATGTTGTTGTTGTAGGATGTTGTAGGATGTTGTTGTTGTAGGATGTTGTTGTTGTAGGATGTTGCTGTTGTAGGATGTTGCTGTTGTAGGATGTTGTAGGATGTTGCTGTTGTAGGATGTTGCTGTTATAGGATGTTGCTGTTGTAGGATGTTGTAGGATGTTGCTGTTGTAGGATGTTGCTGTTGTAGGATGTTGCTGTTGTAGGATGTTGCTGTTGTAGGATGTTGCTGTTGATGTAGGATGTTGTTGTAGGATGGTGCTGTTGTAGGATGTTGCTGTTGTAGGATGTTGCTGTTGTAGGATGTTGCTGTTGTAGGATGTTGCTGTTGTAGGATGTTGCTGTTGTAAGATGTTGCTGTTGTAGGTTGTTGCTGTTGTAGGGTGTTGTTGTTGTAGGATGTTGCTGTTGTAGTATGTTGTTGTTGTAGGATGTTGCTGTTGTAGGATGTTGCTGTTGTAGGATGTTGCTGTTGTAGGATGTTGCTGTTGTAGGATGTTGCTGTTGTAGGATGTTGCTGTTGTAGGATGTTGCTGTTGTAGGATGTTGCTGTTGATGTAGGATGTTGTTGTTGTAGGATGTTGCTGTTGTAGGATGTTGCTGTTGATGTAGGATGTAGGATGTTGTTGTAGGATGGTGCTGTTGTAGGATGTTGCTGTTGTAGGATGTTGCTGTTGTAGGATGTTGCTGTTGTAGGATGTTGTAGGATGTTGTAGGATGTTGCTGTTGTAGGATGTTGCTGTTGATGTAGGATGTTGTTGTTGTAGGATGTTGCTGTTGTAGGATGTTGCTGTTGTAGGATGTTGCTGTTGTAGGATGTTGCTGTTGTAGGATGTTGCTGTTGTAAGATGTTGCTGTTGTAGGATGTTGCTGATGTAGGATGTTGTTGTTGTAGGATGTTGCTGTTGTAGGATGTTGTTGTTGTAGGATGTTGTAGGATGTTGTTGTTGTAGGATGTTGCTGTTGTAGGATGTTGCTGTTGTAGGATGTTGTAGGATGTTGCTGTTGTAGGATGTTGCTGTTGTAGGATGTTGCTGTTGTAGGATGTTGTAGGATGTTGCTGTTGTAGGATGTTGCTGTTGTAGGATGTTGCTGTTGTAGGATGTTGCTGTTGTAGGATGTTGCTGTTGATGTAGGATGTTGTTGTAGGATGGTGCTGTTGTAGGATGTTGCTGTTGTAGGATGTTGCTGTTGTAGGATGTTGCTGTTGTAGGATGTTGCTGTTGTAGGATGTTGCTGTTGTAAGATGTTGCTGTTGTAGGTTGTTGCTGTTGTAGGATGTTGTTGTTGTAGGATGTTGCTGTTGTAGTATGTTGTTGTTGTAGGATGTTGCTGTTGTAAGATGTTGCTGTTGTAGGTTGTTGCTGTTGTAGGATGTTGTTGTTGTAGGATGTTGCTGTTGTAGTATGTTGTTGTTGTAGGATGTTGCTGTTGTAGGATGTTGCTGTTGTAGGATGTTGCTGTTGTAAGATGTTGCTGTTGTAGGTTGTTGCTGTTGTAGGATGTTGTTGTTGTAGGATGTTGCTGTTGTAGTATGTTGTTGTTGTAGGATGTTGCTGTTGTAGGATGTTGCTGTTGTAGGATGTTGCTGTTGTAGGATGTTGCTGTTGATGTAGGATGTTGTTGTTGTAGGATGTTGCTGTTGTAGGATGTTGCTGTTGATGTAGGATGTAGGATGTTGTTGTAGGATGGTGCTGTTGTAGGATGTTGCTGTTGTAGGATGTTGCTGTTGTAGGATGTTGCTGTTGTAGGATGTTGTAGGATGTTGTAGGATGTTGCTGTTGTAGGATGTTGCTGTTGATGTAGGATGTTGTTGTTGTAGGATGTTGCTGTTGTAGGATGTTGCTGTTGTAGGATGTTGCTGTTGTAGGATGTTGCTGTTGTAGGATGTTGCTGTTGTAAGATGTTGCTGTTGTAGGATGTTGCTGATGTAGGATGTTGTTGTTGTAGGATGTTGCTGTTTTAGGATGTTGCTGTTGTAGGATGTTGCTGTTGTAGGATGTTGCTGTTGTAGGATGTTGTTGATGTTGGATGTTGCTGTTGTAGGATGTTGCTGTTGTAAGATGTTGCTGTTGTAGGTTGTTGCTGTTGTAGGATGTTGCTGTTGTAGGATGTTGCTGTTGTAGGATGTTGTAGGATGTTGCTGTTGTAGGATGTTGCTGTTGTAGGATGTTGCTGTTGTAGGATGTTGCTGTTGTAGGATGTTGCTGTTGTAGGATGTTGCTGTTGTAGGATGTTGCTGTTGTAGGATGTTGCTGTTGTAGGATGTTGCTGTTGTAGGATGTTGCTGTTGTAAGATGTTGCTGTTGTAGGTTGTTGCTGTTGTAGGATGTTGCTGTTGTAGGATGTTGCTGTTGTAGGATGTTGCTGTTGTAGGATGTTGTAGGATGTTGCTGTTGTAGGATGTTGCTGTTGTAGGATGTTGTAGGATGTTGCTGTTGTAGGATGTTGTAGGATGTTGCTGTTGTAGTATGTTGCTGTTGTAGGATGTTGCTGTTGTTGTAGGATGTTGCTGTTGTAGGATGTTGCTGTTGTAGGATGTTGCTGTTGTAGGATGTTGCTGTTGATGTAGGATGTTGTTGTTGTAGGATGTTGCTGTTGTAGGATGTTGCTGTTGATGTAGGATGTTGCTGTTGTAGGATGTTGCTGTTGATGTAGGATGTTGTTGTTGTAGGATGATGCTGTTGTAGGATGTTGCTGTTGTAGGATGTTGCTGTTGTAGGATGTTGCTGTTGTAGGATGTTGCTGTTGTAGGATGTTGCTGTTGTAGGATGTTGCTGCTGTAGGATGTTGCTGCTGTAGGATGTTGCTGTTGTAGGATGTTGTAGTATGTTGTTGTTGTAGGATGTTGCTGTTGTAGGATGTTGTAGGATGTTGCTGTTGTAGGATGTTGCTGTTGATGTAGGATGTTGTTGTTGTAGGATGATGCTGTTGTAGGATGTTGCTGTTGTAGGATGTTGCTGCTGTAGGATGTTGCTGTTGTAGGATGTTGCTGTTGTAGGATGTTGCTGTTGTAGGATGTTGTAGTATGTTGTTGTAGGATGTTGCTGTTGTAGGATGTTGCTGTTGTAGGATGTTGTTGTTGTAGGATGTTGTTGTTGTAGGATGTTGAAGGATGTTGCTGTTGTTGTAGGATGTTGCTGTTGTAGGATGTTGCTGCTGTAGGATGTTGCTGTTGTAGGATGTTGCTGTTGTAGGATGTTGTAGGATGTTGCTGTTGTTGTTGGATGTTGCTGTTGTAGGATGTTGCTGTTGTAAAATGTTGCTGTTATAGGATGTTGTTGTTGTAGGATGTTGCTGCGTCCACCTAACTCTGACTCTCATTAGTTTAAAAGAAGGCGGCTGGGCATAGTGCTGGCCGCACTCTGTATGCCAAAGTCATTGAAACTGATGAAATTTACTTCGTCTCCTATTTGTGCCATGGGTACCAATGGGAATAGATGATGTGATGATGGTCATTCTTGGGGTGGTGTGGTTGAAGGCTAGAGCACTCAACTGCTAATCTGAAAGTCTAGAGTTCTAATTGAGGTCAGGACTTGAGTATGCTGGATGTCCTGGAGTTCACCCAGCTCTAATGGGTACCTGCCTCACGTTAGGGAAAATAAATGCAACTGTGCTTAGTGCTGACCCCATTATCCCCCTAAATGCAGAGGTCAAGGAACATGAACTCTAGTTCATCAGCCCTAGGATGAGTAGGCCTGAGATGGGAACCTTTGACCCCTCCTGTTTATGTTCCTCCATATTGTGTTGAATGTCTTGGTCCACCTCGCCCTACTGGTCAGGCTGGTCTGAATACCATGGTCATGTGGGCTTAAAATTGCCACAGGATTAAAGTAAAGTATGCAATCAAAAGATGGGGCAGACACAAAAACTGGCTCGTTATGATTTGTTCTCTCATTATCTCAGGCATGCATGATCTCATTAATATTTAGCAGTGGAGAAATCATCTAAATGGTAATGTGAGTTGATCGATGAACTAGGGACGTGCTGGGTAGAGGGTTACTGCCCCTGGTGGCTGAGGTAGGGGGTAACTGCCCCTGGTGGCTGAGGTAGGGGGTTACTGCCCCTGGTGGCTGAGGTAGGGGGTTACTGCCCCTGGTGGCTGAGGTAGGGGGTTACTGCCCCTGGGGACTGGTGGGTAGGGGGGGGGGGTTACTGCCCATGGGGACTGGTGGGTAGGGGAGGTTACTGCCCCTGGTAGCTGGGGGGGTAACTGCCCCTGGGGACTGGTGGGTTGGGGTTACTGCCCCTGGTGGCTGTGGGTTGGGGGTTACTGCCCCTGGGGGGGGGGGGTAACTGCCCTTAGGGACTGGTGGGTTGGGGTTACTGCCCCTGGTGGTTGGGGGTTACTGCCCCTGGGGACTGGTGGGTTGGGGTTACTGCCCCTGGTGGCTGTGGGTTGGGGGTTACTGCCCCTGGGGGGGGGGGGGGGTAACTGCCCTTAGGGACTGGTGGGTTGGGGTTACTGCCCCTGGTGGCTGTGGGTTGGGGGTTACTGCCCCTAGGGACTGGTGGGTCGGGGTTACTGCCCCTAGGGACTGGTGGGTTGGGGTTACTGCCCTGGTGGCTGGGGGGTTTGGGGTTACTGCCCCTAGGGACTGGGGGATTGGGGTTACTGCCCCTGGGGGATTGGGGTTACTGCCCCTGGGGGATTGGGGTTACTGCCCCTGGGGATTGGGGTTACTGCCCCTGGGGATTGGGGTTACTGCCCCTGGGGATTGGGGTTACTGGCCCTGGAGACTGGGGGATTGGGGGTTACTGCCCATGAGGACTGGTGGGTTGGGGGTTACTGCCCCTGGGGACTGTCAGGTTTGGGGTTACTGCCCCTGTAGAATGGGGGGGGGTACTGCCCCTGGGGACTGGTGAGTTAGGGGGCTACTGCCCCTGGTGGCCTGAATGAAGTCAGTGGATTTAAAATTTAAATGTGTCATTCAACTCAGTTGTCCTAATTAAAGTCATTAATAAAATTGCTTAACATTAGAGTACTGTCTGAATTGTAGGTTAATTGATTGAATTGACTGGTTCAACTGAATTGACTGAATGGTTGATTTGACTGTTTCAACTGACTGAATGATTGGTTTGACTGGATGACTGAATTGACTGAATGATTTGACTGTTTCAATTGACTGAATGATTGGTTTGACTGGATGACTGAATTGACTGAATGATTGGTTTGACTGGATGACTGAATTGACTGAATGATTGGTTTGACTGGATGACTGAATTGACTGAATGATTTCTCTGAGCAGCTTGTCCAGTCCATGCCTTGGAAAAGTTCCCCAGCCATTGACAGCGAGTGGAAGAAAAAAGTGGCCTCGGAGATGTTGAACAGTCTCAGTGAATCCAGGTAATTGGCCCTGTCGTTATGTGGGCCACTTACCACACCAGGTAATTAGCCCTGTCTTTATGTGGGCCACTTACCACACCAGGTAATTGGCCCTGTCTTTATGTTGGTCCACTTACCACAGCAGGTAATTGGCCCACTTACCACAGCAGGTAATTGGCCCACTTACCACAGCAGGTAATTGGCCCACTTACCACAGCAGGTAATTAGCCCTGTCTTTATGTTCGTCCACTTACCTCAGGAGGTAGTTGGCCCTGACTATATGTTGGCCACAGCCTAGGACAAACGTTTTGGTACATTCTTTAAATCCAGCTCGCCACTATAAGTTTGATGGCATTGTTTGAATCCTTACAGACTAGCAAAGAGTATAGCATCCCAAATCAAGGAGCGCCTGAACAAGTCCCACGAATCTTTCAGCAACGCCCTGCGTCAGCTAGAGACTCGTCACTCCGGCAGGCTGGACAAAATAGAGGAACACCGACTCAAGCTGCGCAAGGTGCACGCCCCCAGACTGGCCAAGTTGGCTTTAGAGAGCACCTCACTCAAGGATGTCATCCTCTTTGGTAGGTCTCCACCCTTTTAGGTCAGGAGGTACCCACATCTTGTTGGTCTGACCACACCTTGTGTTGGTCTGTAGGTCCTCATCTTTTGTTGGTCTTCTGTGTTCAGATTGTAAAACCTGTAGTGTCACCTGTGTTTACCTCTAGTGTCACCTGTGCTTACCTGTAGTGTCACCTGTGCTTACCTGTAGTGTCACCTGTGTTTACCTCTAGTGTCACCTGTGCTTACCTGTAGTGTCACCTGTGTTTACCTCTAGTGTCACCTGTGTTTACCTGTAGTGTCACCTGTGTTTACCTGTAGTGTCACCTGTGCTTACCTGTAGTGTCACCTGTGCTTACCTGTAGTGTCACCTGTGTTTACCTCTAGTGTCACCTGTGCTTACCTGTAGTGTCACCTGTGTTTACCTGTAGTGTCACCTGTGCTTACCTGTAGTGTCACCTGTGTTTACCTCTAGTGTCACCTGTGTTTACCTGTAGTGTCACCTGTGCTTACCTGTAGTGTCACCTGTGCTTACCTGTAGTGTCACCTGTGTTTACCTCTAGTGTCACCTGTGCTTACCTGTAGTGTCACCTGTGCTTACCTCTAGTGTCACCTGTGTTTACCTCTAGTGTCACCTGTGTTTACCTGTAGTGTCACCTGTGCTTACCTCTAGTGTCACCTGTGTTTACCTCTAGTGTCACCTGTGTTTACCTGTAGTGTCACCTGTGTTGTCACCTGTGCTTACCTGTGTTGTCACCTGTGCTTACCTGTGTTGTCACCTGTGCTTACCTGTGTTGTCACCTGTGTTTACCTCTAGTGTCACCTGTGTTTACCTGTAGTGTCACCTGTGTTTACCTCTAGTGTTACCCGTGTTTACCTCTAGTGTTACCTGTGTTTACCTCTAGTGTTACCTGTGTTTACCTCTAGTGTTACCTGTGTTTACCTCTAATGTCACCTGTGTTTACCTCTAGTGTTACCTGTGTTTACCTCTAATGTCACCTGTGTTTACCTCTAGTGTCACCTGTGTTGTCACCTGTGTTTAGTGTCACCTGTGTTTACCTCTAATGTCACCTGTGTTTACCTCTAGTGTCACCTGTGTTGTCACCTGTGTTTACCTTTAGTGTCACCTGTGTTGTCACCTGTGTTTACCTTTAGTGTCACCTGTGTTGTCACCTGTGCTTACCTCTAGTGCCACCTGTGTTTACCTCTAGTGTCACCTGTGCTTACCTCTAGTGCCACCTGTGTTTACCTCTAGTGTCACCTGTGCTTACCTCTAGTGCCACCTGTGTTTACCTCTAGTGTCACCTGTGTTTACCTGTGTTGTCACCTGTCAGCCAGTAAAACTTCACCCTTTATTTGACAGGTATGCCAGTGATGGGAAGAGAAATAGGGCGTGGCCAGTACGGGGTTGTGTACTCGTGCGACACCTGGGGCAAATACTCCCCCTGTGCCATCAAATCAGTTGTCCCCCCTGATGACAAACATTGGAATGATCTCGCTTTAGAATTCTTTTACACAAAGTACATTTTTCTTTTCCTTTTTTTTTATTTTTCCATCCTTAGTACACATTTTTTTAAATTATTGTATTTTATATCTGTGTAAATGTACCATCTTCTTTACATTGGATAGTAATGTATGAAGCTTTTATTTTTGTGTACCGATGTATCAGACATGTAACTACATTGTTGTCTTGGCAGGAATATTTCTGAACATGACAGAATTGTAATGCTCAGAGGCTCAGTTATAGACTACATGTACGGTGGGGGGACGTCCCCAGCTGTCCTGTTGGTCATGGAAAGGTTACAGAGGGATCTTTACACGGCCATCAAACAGGGGCTTGACTGGGTCAGTCGGTGAGTACCTCATGTACATCTTTACACGGCCATCAAACAGGGGCTAGACTGGGTCAGTCGGTGAGTACCTCATGTAGATCTCTAGACGGCCATCAAACAGGGGCTGGACTGGGTCAGTCGGTGAGTACCTCATGTAGATCTCTACACGGCCATCAAACAGGGGCTGGACTGGGTCAGTCGGTGAGTACCTCATGTAGATCTCTACACGGCCATCAAACAGGGGCTGGACTGGGTCAGTCGGTGAGTACCTCATGTAGATCTCTAGACGGCCATCAAACAGGGGCTGGACTGGGTCAGTCGGTGAGTACCTCATGTACATCTCTGGCTCATGAACTGATGTTTGTACCAAATCTTGTCCATCTGTTTACATCCAATGTTTGCCACCAAAAACCCATTGAACTGATGTTTGTACCAAATCTTGTCCATCTGTTTACATCCAATGTTTGCCACCAAAAACTCATTGAACTGATGTTTGTACCAAATCTTGTCCATCTGTTTACATCCAATGTTTGCCACCAAAAACCCATAAGTAAACTGATTGGTCTGTTTGTTGTGTTAGTATCCAGGTGGCCATTGATGTGGTGGAGGGTCTCAGATTTCTACACAGTCAAGGTCTGGTGCACAGGGACGTCAAGTTAAAGAATGTTCTGGTAAGGGAAGCTTTTTTTCTTGGAGAGTTTGACATGGATATGATTGCATTCTTTATCAACACCATTAGTAAATGAAGCTCAACTAAGTGTTTTTTGTCAGCTTCACATAATTAATTAATAACCTCATTAATATAAGTTTTGTTGGCTCAAATATTGACCATGCCCATTAAAAGCCCACCTTTTGACCACCAGCTGGACAAAGAGAACCGAGGAAAGATCACTGACCTTGGCTTCTGTAAACCTGAGGCCATGATGAGTGGCAGCATAGTTGGTACACCCATCCACATGGCGCCCGAGTTGTTTACTGGTCACTATGACAACAGTGTCGACGTCTACGCCTTCGGCATCTTGTTCTGGTACGTCTGCGCCGGCCATGTCAGACTGCCCAACGCATTTGAGCAGTGCGCCAACAAGGATCAGCTGTGGCAGTCTGTGAAGAAAGGTGAGGGTCACATTGTAGAAAGGTCAAGGTCATGTTGGAAACAGGTCACTCAAATTATATCAATCGTACATTTTCTTTACTTCACTTGACATTTTCTTTTAAAGTTTAATAAACTGTAGTCTTGCATTACATTTAAAATGTTTGATGAAATAAATGTTATTTTTTCTCTCAAATAATTCACAATTCAAATTTTAGACTTACTAGAAATGTAATAGCTGATGAAATAATTAGTAGCCTCTGTTTGATTAAACTGAACTGTAGATTGAAATAAATTTTAGCCTCTGTTTAATTAATTTGAACTGTAGATTGAAATAAATTTTAGCCTCTGTTTAATTAAATTGAACAGTAGATTGAAATACATTTTAGCCTCTGTTTAATTAATTTGAACTGTAGATTGAAATAAATTTTAGCCTCTGATTAAAACAGTTTATTGCAACAAATTTCCTGTTTAGGTCTTCGGCCAGAGCAGCCCCCCAACACATCTGAGGACTGCTGGGTCTTGATGCAGGGATGCTGGGAAGGGGAGCCAAGCAAGCGGCCATTTTTTGGTGATGTTGAGGACACCCTCAAAGTTATTTTAGAAAAAAACAAGCGTCGGGCCGCCTCCGCAGCCGCTGCAGAGAAAAAGACCGGGACAAACGACAGAAGAAATCGCACATCTGGTTCTCCACGCTTGAAACAAATCTCCCCCAACAGATAACAAGAGGGCACTTATGTGTTGTTGTTATAGATGTGTGCCACACCCAGCTGCTGGGGACTTAACCACCTTTACTTTTGTGATAGAAACAACACAAACACACCTTACCAGGTACACTGGAACTAATACAGTCACACCTTACCAGGTACACAGGAACTAACAGTCACACCTTACCAGGTACACAGGAACTAACACAAACACACCTTACCAGGTACACAGGAACTAACACAGTCACACCTTACCAGGTACACAGGAACTAACACAGTCACACCTTACCAAGTACACAGAAGATTTACATCTATCATTGTTTTCTGATGCTTGGCAATCATCTGCATGGGCTACCATCAGCTATATGCTACCATCAATATGAGCCTTCTAACAACATGAGCTTCTATTTAAAATGAGCTACCTTCAGCATGGGGCTACCACCAGCCTGAGGCTAATCTGACCATGAATGAATGGTCCTACCTGCTTGTTGAAATCTTGATGCAGTGTTGACCCGTGTGTTGACCCTTGTGCTGACCCATGTTGACCCATGTGTCACCAATATGCTGACCACTCCTATTGTCTGTACATAGTGTTCCTACTCAAGGTAGACAATCATCTGACTTGTACATTATTAGCCTATGAGTTACTTCCCCTATGTGTTGCTACAGTATATAGTGAATACACCCAGCCAAGTTACAAGATTTCTGTGTGTGAGAATGGAAAAATGTTCTGCAGGTTCTAGAGGCTCATGGATTTGATGTTTGTTGATGTACAAGGTTTAGATTTGTGGATTAGACAATAATGTACAATTTGGACTTTGATATTTGTGTATTAAAGGTATACTTTTAGATTTGTGTATTAGACACTTAATGTACAAGGTATACTTTTTGATTTGTGTATTAGACACTTAACGTACAAGGTATACTGTTTTGATACCAGTTTACATCTGCTCTGACCGTTGTACAATATTGCTAGTGTACACAGGTACTGTGACTATTCAGGTACTAGCTGGTGGGGTTTTTTTTAGTTTTTGATTGATGAAAATAAAAACATTTTAATTCGAAATAAAAGGTGACTGGAAACAACACCAGACAGGGAATTATTTATTTATAAAGCATTAGTAGACAAAAACAAGGTATGCCCACATGTACATCGTAGCTAAAACATTTCCCCACGGAATTGGACATAATTAAAGTGTATTTTTATAATAAGTTTTTTTTTGCACATTGTTCTGTTTGCAAAGTTTTCTGGGAACTCAATTAAGAATCTATTAGGTACATTTTTTTTACCTGAGGTTTTTTAAAGAGGAAATGTGTTGATCTTATAAATATTTGATCTTTGTTGTGAGGTAAATTGTGTTGGTCCCCAGTGGTAGCTAGGGTCATGTTGACCTGATGACACTGTAACCTTTAACCTTTTGTATTTTGTACAGTGTATTTTAGATGAATTTTTACCTGATGATGTACATATGACATTTGATAAAAATAGAATGACAATGTCAAGCTTTGTTGTTTGATTTGTCTGGTGTAAAAACTCTCTGCTCTGAGGGGGGGGGGGGGGGGGTGTCTGTATATGATGTCCACACAGCCAGGGGGTGGTCCAAAAAAGTTGACTTGTGGAAGGGATGGGTCTTTGGGACCCATAATATCCAAATATTAGAGCAAACAACGAATACAAACATATGTCCATCTTAAACAAATGAGCTTGTGTTTAAAAACATCTAATTGGTCATTTAATCACAGTATCTATTTAGAAAATTATAGGTCTGCATAAGTGAGCCAATCATCATGTAGAATAGAAAAACGTTTAAACTGGAGCCAGCGGTACTATAAGACTGGCTCATTGGCTTTCTGGTTATAAAAAAAATTGAATCTTTTTATTTATTTGACCTTTTGCATAGCCAAAGTTGTCTGACGTATAGTGACTCATGTCTTGATTTTCAGTGATGGTAAAGTGACTCTAGAATTCAGTGACTCTATACGTCAAGTGATCCTAGAGTTCAGTGACTCTAGAAATCAGTGACTCTAACGTCTAATGGCCATAGAATTCAGTGACTCTAAACGTCAAATGACCCTAGAATTCAGTGACTCTAGAATTCAGTGACTCTAAACGTCAAATGACCCTATAATTCAATGACTCTAAACGTCTAATGGCCCTAGAATTCAGTGACTCTAGAATTGAGTGACTATAAACGACTAATGACCCTAGAATTCAGTGACTCTAGAATTCAGTGACTCTAAACGTCTAATGACCCTAGAATTCTGTTACTCTAGAATTCAGTGACTCTAAACGTCTAATGACCCTAGAATTCTGTTACTCTAGAATTCAGTGACTCTAAACGTCTAATGACCCTAGAATTCTGTTACTCTAGAATTCAGTGACTCTAAACGTCTAATGACCCTAGAAAAAGCAGTGACTGCAAAAGTCTTGCAACTTCTGGAGATTTTACCCCACCCACGAGTGAGACCCACGCCCTCCCCGCAACACGTCCATCACGTGACATTAGTACTAACCCTACCTCGTCCAAATAAGGAAATTGATCATTCTGTCGCCGTAACTGGTTTTCCGGTAACGATTTTTCACTTTCCGGTAACCAAGATACCGATTTGTTTACAGCTATGACATCACGGCGACCTTTGATGTGGTATCAGCCGCCCCTGGGGGCCACACTACATCCACCCACCTCACATTTTACCCCCACCCCCCCCACACCTCTCACTACATCCACCCACCTCACATTTCACCCCCCCCCCCCCACACCTCTCACTACATCCACCCACCTCACATTTCACCCCCCCCACACTTCTCACTACATCCACCCACCTCACAGTTCACCCCCCCCACACTTCTCACTACATCCACCCACCTCACATTTCACCCCCCCCCCCCTGGGGGCCACACTACATCCACCCACCTCACATTTTACACCCCCCCCCACACACACACCTCTCACTACATCCCCCCCACCTCACATTTCACCCCCCCCCCCACACACACACCTCTCACTACATCCCCCCCACCTCACATTTCACCCCCCCCCCCATCCACACCCACCTCTCACTACATCCCCCCACCTCACACTTCATTATCCCCCCACCCCACACTTCATGCCCCCCCCCCCCCCATGTGTAATGGCCGTTGATTTAGTCGCAGGTAGCGGCGTGAATAACAGCTAATGATGGCGAGGCTTTTAGCCGCTAGAATAATCTACAAACTCGTCGTCAACGGGCTGACGAACTAGCGGACATTGAGCTAATGGGGGGAAGGGTCAAAGTAGGTTCAGGTAGGTTTTGTACAACTTCTGTAGGTCCTGCTATAGGTTCATTTAGGTTTTGTACAACTTCTGTAGGTCCTTCTATAGGTTCAGGTAGGTTTTGTACAACTTCTGTAGGTCCTGCTATAGGTTCAGGTAGGTTTTGTACAACTTCTGTAGGTCCTGCTATAGGTTCATTTAGGTTTTGTACAACTTCTGTAGGTCCTGCTATAGGTTCAGGTAGGTTTTGTACAACTTCTATAGGATCAGGTAGGTACGAAATAAACCATGGAACTAGGACAATGCTATATTTGGATGGTTTTAAAACGTCTCTTCATGACGTTTTGACACCTGTTTCATTGTTTTTCTTTTAAATAGCCTAATTTTTTTTTTTAAAAGATTAACGTTAATCACAACTTGGAATTGGCATTTTAATGGCGTTTTTAGAACCATAATTAACAAGTTAAAATGTTTTTAAATCATTAGCGGACTGGTTCCATTTTTGTACGGTAATTAAGTAATGAGTGCGCATGCGGGAAGCTGACAGCACGAGCAAACACTTGAAGCCTCGTTTTGAACCACGTTCTGCGTCAGCCGCTTGCCCAACTAACGATGTTTGGATTCAAGTCTTGTCAAACGGCCCGACAAAAATGCCGATATTGAAACAAATTTTCCCCCGGGCTCGCTTAAGGCTTTTAAAAAATAAAATCTGCTGTTGTCTGGGCAACTGACACGTCATTTATCGTTTCGACCAAAGGCCGTCGTCAGCTCTTTGAAATTAAAACATATGGGCTTTAATTAACAGATAACCTGAATAGTAATTAGACATTTTTAAAGGTTTATTAACGGCGTTATTTTTTAAATTAGTTTTTTTTTTCATTTAGATGATAATAGAGTATCTTTATCTGCATATCTTGTAAGGAAATATTTTAAAAAAAAAAACTGACTGCGTCAGCTAGTTCTTGGTCTGTCACAATTTATTTAGCCACGTGTGTAAGAGGGGGGGGGGGGAGGGAGGGAGGGATTTTAAAAACAAAAGACCAGCCAAGTGACGATTATTGTCAAATATTTTTCAATGAACCAAACAACATACAAGCGTCCACTCGTACCAAACAACATACAAGCGTCCACTCGTACCAAACAACATACAAGCGTCCACTCGTACCAAACAACATGCAAGCGTCCACTCGTACCAAACAACATACAAGCGTCCACTCGTACCAAACAACATGCAAGCGTCCACTCGTACCAAACAACATATAAGCGTCCACTCGTAAATGGTGTTTGTAAAAAGTGTCATCCCCCCCCCCCCCCTCCAAAAAGTGGGATCTCTTGATTGGACCAGCCATAAAATGTTTAGACTGATGCGTCTGGTGGCATCTGGTACAAAGTGCTGTTAATGTTCAAGCCGCCCTTAACGACCAAATAAATCGTGTTCTCTAGCAACCAGACTACGATCAAACATTTTGTAAACAATTGACGTCTAGCTGGTCATTTGTGCTCGTTATCCGATTTGAGCTCAACTCTAGCTCCTCTACACGGTTTGAGCTCAACTCTAGCTCCACTACAATCTTGGCTGGTCTAACAGAAATTTAAAGATTTTTTTAAGGCTACATTTGAGAAAAGTCGAGTTTTGGTTGGACTGATATCCGATTTTATGAGATGTCATAGGTTTGACATTTTCTGACAAGACGGGCTTTGACAGATAAAAGCTCAAAAGTCTAGTTCTGTCTAAAGTCTAGCAGTGTCAAAAGTCTAGTTGTGTCAAAAGTCTAGTTTTGTCAAAAGTCTAGTTCTGTCAAAAGTCTAGTTTTGTCTAAAGTCTAGTTGTGTCAAAAGTCTAGTTGTCAAAAGTCTAGTTCTGTCAAAAATTTAGTTGTGTCAACAGTCTAGTTGTGTCAAAAGTCTAGTTCTGTCTAAAGTCTAGTTCTGTCTAAAGTCTAGTTTTGTCTAAAGTCTAGTTTTGTCTAAAGTCTAGTTTTGTCTAAAGTCTAGTTCTGTCTAAAGTCTAGTTCTGTCAAAAAGTCTAGTTTTGTCCTGTTGTGTCAAGCGTCATGTTGTCTCCCCATTCCATATGTTGTTATGGGGTGTCCTGTTGTTATGTTCTACTTGGAAAAATTAGTTATATGGACGTCTTGTATGTCAAATGCCCCATTAAATGACGTACGCTTTGTCAGACCTCTTTGATATTCGAATCATTTCTTCCTGATTATCGGCCCACCCCCCTAATGTGGCCCATCCGTTGCCCCCCCCCCCCCACCACGCCAGCGAGGCCATGCCGTGAGTACTGCCTGTAGCAGCGCGTGCGAGAGGGCGCGTGCAGTCCAACAATTTCTGGTTGTGGTATGGTCAGGTAAATAGTGTGGTGGAGTGGATGTTTTCTCCGTGTGTTGGCGCGGTGGATGTGAAACTCTAAGTGCTATTCTCTCGTCCTTCTGTGGGACTGTGGTCCTAGGGATAACAGTTTCACGTTTGCTAGAATATTCCACCGTGTGTGCCGTGGTTTTATCACTTGTGGTAGGAACGTGTCAAACTTTTAATTTTTGACAATTGAACTTTTATAATCAGAAAATTTCAATTTCAGGCCTCATTTACACAAACAGCAATAACATAGGTGATAGACTAGACGATAGACTAGACGATAGACTAGATGTAGACGATAGACTAGACGAGAGACTAGACGAGAGACTAGACAATAGACTAGAAGATAGACTAGACGATAGACTAGACGATAGACTAGACGATAGACTAGACAATAGACTAGACAATAGACTAGACAATAGACTAGACGATAGACTAGATGTAGACGATAGACTAGACGATAGACTAGACGATAGACTAGACAATAGACTAGACGATAGACTAGACAATAGACTAGACGATAGACTAGACAATAGACTAGACAATAGACTAGACGATAGACTAGACGATAGACTAGACAATAGACTAGACAATAGACTAGATGATAGACTAGACAATAGACTAGACGATAGACTAGACGATAGACTAGACAATAAACTAGACGATAGACTAGATGATAGACTAGACAATAGACTAGACAATAGACTAGACAATAGACTAGACAATAGACTAGACAATAGACTAGACGATAGACTAGATGATAGACTAGACAATAGACTAGACGATAGACTAGACGATAGACTAGACAATAGACTAGATGATAGACTAGAAGATAGACGTGATGACGTCTTATCCTATACGACAGTATCGAGGCGATAGGTTGAGGGGTGGTGGGCACACTGGTAAGAGAAAGACAGTTAAAATGTTGTAAGCATTTCTGTCTTTGTTGATGTGGCTGACAAGTATGTAGCTTGCCGATAGCACACAGATACTAGCAATGTGACACTCCACCGAACTTAATGACCATCCACCCACTCCACTGACCATCCACCCACTCCACTGAACATCCACCCACTCCACTGAACATCCACCCACTCCACTGAACATCCACCCACTCCACTGAACATCCACCCACTCCACTGAACATCCACCCACTCCACTGACCATCCACCCACTCCACTGAACATCCACCCACTCCACTGACCATCCACCCACTCCACTGAACATCCACCCACTCCACTGAACATCCACCCACTCCACTGAACATCCACCCACTCCACTGACCATCCACCCACTCCACTGACCATCCACCGACTCCACTGACCATCCACTTGTATATTTAAATTTATCTTTTTGTTTTGAAAATACGCACTTCAGTCTTTTCTAAAAATAGCCACCCATCCTTCATACTTCAGGCTTTACAACGCACCCACACCACGTCCCACACACCACACACCACCCCACAAAGTCGCCATTTTAATCTTCTCTGTTTTGTCACCCACCCCCAAATTCCAAGTCCCCAGCACTCTCCCCTCCCCCTCAAAGACATGAAATGATGGAATACATCCCCATTCTTCAAACTATTTTGGTCACACTCACACACTCACTCACACACACACACACACACACACACTCACACACACCCACACGCACACACACACACACACACAAACTGTCTCCTTGACTTTTGTAAAACATGGGGGGGGGGCAAGGGTAAGTCGTAAAAGGGAAATAATTAGCTCACGAGAAAGGAAAATTTCATTATCTCGAGCGTCTGCCCAAGTAACGTTAGACGTAAACAAACCAAGGGCTAGTAGGGGTGGATATGGGATATTATGGGATAGTTCAAGAGGGAGGTTTCCATGGTAACCATTCGGGTAAGCGGGGATGTCCACTGTACCTGTTTGGTTGATTTAGGAAACAAACAGCTCACTAACACTTAGGACCAAGGATGGTGCAACTCTAGAGCAGCAGACGGAGCCGTGTTACTGCCCCTAATGGGGGAGATTGTTATCTCATCCTAGTCGTGTTCTGGAGGGTTCCAAACAATGGGGGATAACTCAGTGCGTCACTCGCGGCCTCACGGCTGCCTACGTCATCAGCAGACCTGCAGTCCACACAAGCTGACGTCACCACGACGGACAATCATGATTGCCATGGACGGAAGTGGACACTCGTTTTACGCCTTCGATTGTAAGTAGACAGTTGTCAATGTTTGATTGTAAGTAGACAGTTATCAACGTTTGATTGCAAGTAGACAGTTGTCAATGTTTGCTTGTAAGTAGACAGTTGTCAATGTTTGATTGTAAGTAGACAGTTGTCAATGTTTGATTGTAAGTAGAAAGATGTCAATGTTTGATTGTAAGTAGACAGTTGTCAACGAACTTGCACGAGCTGTCGGTAGAGGTGGAGTAGAGTAAGCCTGGCTCTAACGTTTGCAACACAAAACCCATATGTTTTATCCCCTCCGCTCCAAATTTATCCCAAGTACCAATTAGAGCTGAGCCTGCTCAAGTAAAGTCGACCAGAGGAACCAGACAAAAGCTCTGACTAGACCTGCGGGTAGCGGTCACGTGACTACCACCCCAGCTTAAATCTGGCCACAACATCTACCTACCTTGTGACGTCATGATATTTATATGTCCACTAAACTCTCTAACGAAGACGTATTTCTGACGTCAGAGGTTAGCCTAATTCGTAGCATCAAAATATTTTTACAAGGGACCTACACTACCCACGATAGCTGTACCACACATTTTACAAGGGACCTACACTACCCACGATAGCTGTACCACACATTTTACAAGGGACCTACTTACACTACCCACGATAGCTGTACCACACATTTTACAAGGGACCTACTTACACTACCCACGATAGCTGTACCACACATTTTACAAGGGACCTACACTACCCACGATAGCTGTACCACACATTTTACAAGGGACCTACTTACACTACCCACGATAGCTGTACCACACATTTTACAAGGGACCTACTGACACTACCCACCACTTACACTATCCACGATAGCTGTACCACACACTACGATTACCCAACACACACATAAACTAACAGTTCCGTAAAAATTCACACACGTTTTCTGTGTGAATGAGAAGTCGTTGTTTGTGGGGTAAAAAGAAGGTAAGGTTAGAACTGTTCTGTTGCAACCCATGACGTTATTCAAGTGGAAAGATATTTTAAAGCCTGTAAACTTTCTGAAAACTTTGAAATGAAAAGATATAGATCTGTGAAAGTCTGAATATTTCAAAATGAAAAGATAGACTGTACGAAAACCTGAAGAGTTGAAGTAATTGCCCCGAGAGTAGATGTTAACCTTCGACCCAGGGGCCGTTATCTTGCCGACTGTTTAACCTGTCTAGAGTGTTGTCTTCTCTGTTGATGTAGGGGAAGTAATTTGTTTCGAGCAGAGATTGTCGTCTGGCCAAACTTCTACCTTTCCGGAAATCCACAAACAAAAGGCGGAAACGGAAATCGTCGAAAGTAAAAGTGGGTCATTTATTTAGGTCAGCTGTTGTGCTTTTGTTTAGGGGTCATCCATTTATAACGTCCACAAAAATGTGAAACTTTAGAGCCCCCGGCCTCCTATATACAATATAAATTGTGTATATTTTGTATGCAAGTGACATGTTTGTATGTTATCCTAGCAAGTACGTATTTTGTTGGTAAATGTTGAATTCAACATGTAGACCGAGACGTGTGGAGTGTGCTAAAAATGGGTGTGGGGGAGGTGGTAAAGTGTTAGGGATGGGGTGTGTTGCCTTCTGCAATGAAACCCATTGTGTTTCAAACGACAAGTGACGTCATATCGTATCAGCACGTGACCTCTGACCGGAAGCAGACGACGAGGTTTTGTTCTTTAGCGGGCCGGAAATAAAGTTGTGGGGGGGGGGGCAGGATCGAACAGTTTGTGTTGTGGCAGGATCAAACAGTTTGTGTTGTGGGGCCGGGGTAAGTTATGCTGGCGTTGTTGATGTGTTACCAAGCCTTCAAAATATGGTGTTTATGATTTCGTTAGGAAGCTTATGGATGATGAGTTGGTAGCTACATCAATGTGGGTGTGTTAAACTGTATCTTCTACAAGAACTTAAGGACCAGAAGATCTAGCGACACTGTCGACACTTGTCTACCTCTCTAGCAAACAAAAGCTGATCAGCAAACATTTTCGTGCACGGTTTTTAACATGGGCACAACGTTTTCAACATATGTACACACTTTGTACCCCACCCCCCTACATCCGCTCCCCCACCCCAGCCCTCCACACCCACCCTACCCATCTAAAGTGCATCTGCCGCCCCATCCAAAAACCCAATTCCGTGCTGCCTAAAGGCGGTAAAAAGTGATTTAAATCTTGTCGAGCTAAAAATATGTGCGCCGTGTAGCCCCGTTAAGTGTGGTTATAAATAGTAGCGTACATTTGAATGCCACAAAAAAAAAGTTAGAAACCGTTTTTTTGGTGTCGATATTCTAACGTTTTGTAACAAAAAAAATAAAGTGGGAGTGATCTCCCCTAAATTTTCTCCTATATTTTTACGCAACAGTAGGGATGGTACTTCCAGGGCTATAGATACATTTTTCTATACAGAATAGAATCGTGCAGAAAAATAAAATTGCGAACCAACTGAGCGGAAAATGTGTAAATTATACAAATTAATTTTCTTTTTTGAGAAATCGGAAGTACAGCTTCCAGGCACAGGAAATCACTCAAAATTGGATAGAAAACAGCGAATAATTTTATAAAGGCCCCTATCTATTTATGAAATTTCGTCTAGCTAACTGAAATAGTACTCAAAGTATTTTAGTATTTTTTCAAACCAGAAATAGAGTACCACTTCCGAATATCGGAAGTCACTCAAAAATTGAAAGCAATCTGAGTTTAAGAATTTTTAGTTAAGTATAAAATTTCTGCTACGTAACTGCAACAATTGCCAAGTTATCGTTTTCACACGAAAGTTGAGTAAAGTACCACTTCCGATTACCGGAAATAGTTCAAAAGTTGAATGAAAACGGCTCATACAATCCTGTATTTGTTTGAAAAATTTTGTTTACCTAACTTTAATGATACTTAAGTTATTAACTTTTAAGTAACCGGAAGTAGAGTATGTACCACTTTCGGTTACCGTAAATCGCTCAAATGATTACTACAAATTCGATATATTACTTTTATATGAAATTTGATCAACATAACTGAAACGGTACTCAAATTATCGTGTTTACATACACACACATACACAGACGGACGGGTTTGAAAATTTTTTTTTTTTTCCGGCACCGAAATGTTGTAAAACGTCTAAATTTGTCATACTATCTCGAATACGATTTTTTTCATGATTACAAGACATCCTTTATATTCCGTATACGATAAAGTGGGGAGGTGTAAAACAACGAAAGCTGTCAAGAATCTCATTTAGTCTGTGTGCACGATTACAATACTCTCTCTATCCTCGGTGTAATGAAATGTAAATATTCGATGTAATGGGGACACACGTAGACCTAGCCTAGCGTACGAGAATATTTATAACGGGTTTTATGCAAGCAACGTTTCAAACAATGTAGGCCTACCCAACTCCAACACATTTCACTTCGTGCTTGATGCAGCATAGCGTTTTGTACAGTTTTTTTAAAACTAATCAGTCGCACATTTGAAATGGTTTCCCTGTGGTTATAGTAACATTACTTAGGAATGGTCTAATGTCTTTTAACTACAAACATCGCTTCCTTGCTCAGGTTTTTGTTATAGAGGTAGATTTTAAATCTGTGAACTCGTCGATGTTGATAAGATGAGTAAACCAACAATACACGGTCCAGATTTTTTTTAATATCTGTCTGGTAATGACGTCAAATGTGAGGCTTTATTACGTCACAGAAAACATTCCATCAACTTTTAAAACGGACGACCAAATTCCATCAACTTTTAAAACAACGGACCAAAGTTCATCAAGTTTTAAAACAACTGACCGGGGAAGACTGGGAAATTCTTTAACAGCGGTTACAGAACTGCTTGATTCCACGTTTACCTCCTAGTGGGTGTACATCTCGACAGGTAACTACCTGTAATTACCTGCCACTGCACTGTTACCTGTCAGCACCTGCATGACAGGTGAGTTTCACCTACCTCCTACTGACGTCATCACAGATCAATGACAAAACGAGGGGAGGGGTGGGGCTGGTACAACCATTTTATTTAAAATAAACATTACGCCACTGTTGACTTATTAGAATTTCATAAATTACTAGCGTGCCCGTCCCGTGCGTTGCATCGCATTAACGCAATATTTTAAGAACCTTTTATCATGTCGTTACCATGCGTATAGTTTAAGACAAGTGATCTTGTTTTGTTAGTTATTCAAATGTAAACAATGCGAGCGGGAATTTCATGGATTATAGCTGTTGGGGCGCGGTTTGTCCACACTACCGTCCTGACGCCTTAGGGGTATGAAAGCATTGAGTGTACATTACTCACCTCCCCCCCCCCCCAGAAAGACGGGGCGTCACCCCTCTGAAATTTAAAAATACATTATCAGCAGCTTCTTAAATTCTCATGACTATTGCATGAAAGGTGTAAAAATTGCATAAACAACACACACACACACACACGAATATATTATATATATTATATATATATATATATATATATATATATATATATATATATATATATATATATATATATATATATATATATATATATATATATATATATATATATATATATATATATATATATATATATATATATATATATATATATATATATATATATATATTGTTACGTCCCGACCTACCTAGATCTTTCGATTTAGGAGGGGAGGTAGACAAGAACACACGTTAAATATAACGAACACCTTTTCAATAACAACGTAAGTTTAATCTTCACAACAGAGTTACAATATATTGAAAAGTAACCACCACCAAAATACAACACAGAAATCCTACCACCTATTCTAAACTATACTATCTACAACTACACGTCCTAACTGGTGAGCTGCCGTACCCTGACTGTCTTAACCCTCCTAGTCCTAACTTCTTTGTCTCCCCCATCCGGTCTACCCTAATTTACATGTCGCCAACAGTTCTGTCGTGCCTGATTAAAGTGTCAGACCCTGCTAATAAACTACCCCCATTACGGTCACTAGATACGTGTCTTCTACACCTACCCCCATTTGATGCCG